TTTCCGCCATACTATATAACTGATCTGGTGTGGGAAAGATGCCTTTCATGCATGTCCTTCAAGGGAGGCTTCTCATTGGCAATTCCCTCAATGAATACATTGAAGCAGCTACTGATCGGTGAGGGTCCAGCCCTCTTTATCCCAGATCACAGTTCTATCTGCAATATGTACCTCCTACTGTGCAGTTCTCAGCCATGCACCCTTCCCAGACACAATCATCATTTACTATGGGTCTTTCTGGTTGTGGCAAATGTTTACTTCTCTAAGGTCACCAGAGCTTCTAACTGGCCTTCCTCACACTAAAGGGTCACCCTCTCTTGGGGAGGCGATCAGGCAGTGTATGTACACTTACCCCAATTTATAAAAGAGGTATAAAAATATTTCTGTCTACCTTTTCCTACAAGTATTTCCAATTGCTCTCCTCTCCTTACCTCTCTAGTTCTCCTCCGCTTCTACTTACTTGGGAAAAGAACAAGATTTCTTAACCCCATTCATATCTTATCATTACAATGGGTGTTAACCTCCTTTTCCCACCAAGGAATAGATTTCAGGGCTTACCAACCCCTACATAAGAACACCTGTCCTTGAAGGTCATCATACTGCGCTGCACTAGATACATTGGTATGATTGGTATGGTCAGAGGTGCCCCATGAGAAAACCATTTGTCTAATCCTTAGTTATACTTGATATTATGTACTTCTGCATCCAAATCTCTGATGGCAAAGAAATGATTACCCTTGGTTGAGGGCATTTTGTGGGTTAATTTTTTTTCTTGTCTGCTTTTCCATGTTTTTTTTACTGACGTAAATGACTAATTCCATTCACATTGTCCTGGGCAGGTAGTTTTTCTAATATCCTTACTCCCTGGATATTCCATATATTAGTGCAATCCATTCTCATGTTGGATGCCTCCTTTACAGCCCTATTTAGGCCCAAGATTCTCATGCTTGGTAATCTTCTGGAAAAACAGCTCCACCTAGTGAGCTAATCGAAACAAATATAATACTGAGGGCCTTGTGCTGACCATGCTTCCTGCTGAACCGGCCGAATTTTGATCCATGTATGGCCATGTATGGGCACCCTGGTTCTACATAAGTTGGCCACAGCTAATCACATGGTACAGATGAACTATGATTGGCCCTGTCTGTACCATGTGATCACTGTGACCACTCAGAGATTAACACAATAGTACACAATGAATGGAAGCCATCTATTCTGTACAATTGTCATGTAATCTGTTTTAATTGGTCACAGCGATCACATGGTACCGGTAGCAGGGCAGTACACTGATCTGTCATCCACTGTGTCGGGTGGACACAGCGGGTGACAGATTGCACTGGGTCCCGATCCAGGGAGGACGTCATTATGACCTCCACCTGGATCTAGAGTTGTCCTGCTTGGCCATCATTTGACTATAGGCTGGGCAGGAACTGGTTAAGGTTCTAAAGGCTTAAGGTTTTTTATCTTTTTGCATCTTTTGCATGAAGGTAAAAAACCTTCTGTGTGCAGATTTACCCACAGTTCCCCACCAATACTTACTTGAGCCTGATCATGGTCCAGCGCTGTGTATGAGAGAAGTATCTCTGACCCCTCATTGGTTGAGACACAGCAGCTCCCGTTGATATCAATCACAGCCAGTGAGGAGGGAACAGGGGGAAAGGCTGAGCTGCGCTTTGTGTGTCTCATAGACACACGGAGGCGGCTCTGAAGCGAGCACGTACAAGTGCCCCCAGAACAAGCAGCTTGTCCTGGGGCTCTCAGCTGGAAGGGGGGGGGGGGGGGTGTCCAGTAGCGCCAGTGGGGGACCCGGGAAGAGGAGAATCAGGGCTGCTCTGTGCAAAACCATTTTACAGAGCAGGTAAATATGACTTGTTTGTTTATTTAAAAAAAAACCTTTATTATAACTTTTAAGGCGTATTAAAATAGCTGCACCTTGCAAAACAGTGTTGTTATTATTTATTTTATTTTTTTTTACCATCCGACACACCTGACCCCTTATGAATAACAAGATATGAGGTAGTGCTGTGGTCAGATACATTCAAATTACATAAATATAATGCAACAAGTCGATAAAACTATAATTGCAGTCAACTCACCAGCATTAAATATCCAATTAGCCTTTTGTAAACTCCATTCATAAATTTCTCATCCACATGACGTAGTTCACTCCACCTCGTGGTAAGTGCACTCCATAAAACTCACTGACTCACATTGCCTGTCATTTTACTGATAGACAATAGTGCATTCAAGATATAATCACTCCACTCTTGCAAAGTTCAAGTTATACGGTCGTTTTCCCCTTTAAAGGGTCTCTGTAAAACCATTAACCCATTAACTTTTTTCAAATTCCAGTTTTAAATCCTACTCACAAGCATCACAAGCATAGCGCTCATCAAAATATTGCATAAAGTGCATTGGCAGTCAGGTACAGCCTCGCCTGTACGCTGAGTGATTGGCGTCTTACCGGGCCGTTCCTCTGTGACTTCCACCGGGCATTGATGTCACTTCCATCTGCCATGCAGTCCGACCCCAACTTTTTTAAAGGGTTGGGATCAGTTCACTTCCAGTTGCCATGTGGTCCACCCCGAACGTGTTTTGTCTGCCAACTTTTTTAAAGGGTTGGGATCGATTCCTGTGTCCTGTACTGCACTCAGGTACATCAAAATTCTTGTTTTTTTCTTTATTAGTGTCACTTTTTCTTTATTACATTGTACAGATGTGCCACTTCACAGGCAGGTTTAAGGCATCCCCCAAATTGTTCTTTAAAGGAGTTGTACATTTTAAATGTTGCTCTTCAAGGCATAAGGATCCATGCACACTGGGCATTTTAATAACGCTAGTAACGTTAGCTGTGTAAAGTCACATTAAAATGTGAGTTTTTTCAGCGTTTTTTAGTGTTTTTGCATTAGCATGGTGAAAAAAAAGGTCCAAAAACACCGGTTTGCTGCAATTTACCATGTTTTGTCACGTTTTTCAGCATTAAAGTGTTTTTACAGCTAAAAAAACTTCTCTAGAAACCCACTAGTCCTGGGGTTTTTTTCCAGCCAAAAAATGCCCTGCCAAAAAACACTGATTATAGTCTATGTGTGCATGGACACATAGGATAACATGCTGGGGGGTTTACTGGCTGTAGAAAAAAAACATCAAAAGCCAAAAACAGCTGCTGTAAAAACGTCCAGTGTGCATGAGGACTCAAAAAGAGCTGCTCTCTGCCAAACAGTATTTTTTTTTTTCATTGGTACTTCTACTCTGTCACAGATGCTTAGCTCAAGATGCCATTTGTTTGACAATTCCTATTAGCCTTGAAAATTAAAAAGTTGATTTTCAAGTTTCGCCCCTTATTTACTTCAATAGTAATCAAACCCAAGCAGATTTGCTTATTACTAGCAATAAGCCAATATGGCTGCCCTTGTATATGTACAGTATATCAGGGGTGTGGAAATTTAAAAAAAAAAACTACTTGTCCAGGGACTAAATCGGTGTCCAAATTAGCTGTCCCTCATGACAACCTAGTTGTACTGACAAAAAATTTTTTTTTTACCAAAACCCTATTTAAACCCCCAAACATTATATATTTTCTGAAAGCAGTGACGTTCGAGAATAAAATAGTGGTAGTTCCAATTTATGTGACACGACATTACCACAAAGGTCTAGGAAACACAAAATTTCAGAAAAAATACACTTAATTTTAATGCACAAAACACAAAAGAAATTTGCCCTTTTTTTTGTAATGAGGTTGCACCGAGTTTCACGTGTGTTTGTGAAATGGTGACAAACTTTAGTACCCTATATTTTCTATAGGTGACACTTTTAAAGCCCATTCTAGGTCACCATTTTGTGTTATAGAGGAGGTCTGGTGATAGAATTATTGCTCTCATTCTGGCGTGCGTCACGATATGTAACATTTGTATTGCAATCTACATTTTCATGTGTGAGTGCCCCAATATGTGTTTTTACATTTGTATGTATGTGCGTATATGTGGAGTTAGGATACCTCAAAAAAAAAATTTTTTTTTTTGGGGGGGGGGGGTGGGGTCTGGGGTTTTATATGCTTGGGTGTTAAAAATTAAAAAAAAAACTTCTTTTTTTTCAAACTTTTATTTTTTTCTTCATCGCATAGGGGACAAAAAGTCCCCTATGTGATGATTTCTGGTGACAGGTTTTCTTCATTGAGACATCTAGGGTCTAATAGACCCTGCATGTCTCCCCTGTACTCAACTGGATGTAATGCAGTGCACATCACACTACATTACATTCTTTTCCAGCCTCGATGGCCAGGAAATCTGTCAACGGGGACCCGGAAGTGACATTATAATGTCAATTCCAGGTCAGGCGAAGAAGAAGAGGGGAGTGGACGTGTCCCCTCTACACACTAGCACCCGCTGAACTGGTCCCGGGCCCGTAGATGGGAGGTATGCGGGAAGGCTGGCACTGTGGGCTATGTGGAAGCAATCGGCAGAAGCGCTGCCGCCCGAATCCTTCCACCTGACAGGTGAGCCCTGCTGCTTGCCATATGTGCATTTAAAGCTAACAGTTTAAAAGACTACCTGCCCGGTGCCCGGAACTACATGTCCCGGGCGTCGGGCGATACAAATTGAACATCCCTGTATATATTCACAGACTTTACTTAGAAACAATAGTTTTTTTAGAACTCCTAACACATTTATAATTTTTACATTACATTGATTTTTACACCTGTATCTAAAATAATACCTGAATGACAGAAAAAGTTGGAAGGTAACCACACCCCCACAGTAGTAGTGATGTTCTCATTATAAGTGTTGTTATATTACCTGTTCAATTAAATAACAGAAAAGTAAGCATTTGTGGATGCCTCACACAAAGTCTTTACAAGCAAATTAGATCTGAAACGACCTTTCTTGGTCAACTATGGTCTGTGAAATGCTGACTCTGTTTTTCACAGTGGAACTAAATTTTTAAATTAAGTCTACCTGTGTGTCTACCCAAATGTTCATCTGATAGTCTTCTCTATCCTGCAGGTGTTCTGTTCACGTTCCTATGATGCCACCACACATTTTGAGACCACATGCAATGACATCAAAGACATCTACAAGAGAATGACTGGAACAGACTTTGACTTCGAGAACATGAAACGCAAGCAGAATGATGTTTACGGGGAGGAAGAACAGTGAATTGGGCATTTGCTTGGGGTCGGGAGGGATAGCAATGAGTTGAAATGGAAAAACAACTACTTTTTTTTTCCCGAAAAGAGGGTTGGTCTGAAACTTTAGAACGAGCATGTGGGGGGAATCATGTTATGTGATGAAGCTGGGAATGGAGGTTACCTAGTTGTTGTAAGCAAAGAAACATAGCTAAAGCTTCCATTCTTACTTTTGTCCTCATGATTCCAGTTTAACTTTTTAAGCCTTGGGCTAACACTGTGGTGGAGCTTCAACCTCTTGGTTCCTCTTCGATTCAGTTCTCAAAATGTTATCTCAGCTGTACAAGCAGCCACACACTTGTTTTACATTTTTAGCACACTTAGCCCAGGTTTCCCCTCATCTCACAACCAGTTGCGAACATATATGTATAAAGTGCTTACTGATTCAATTGTTACTTAATCTTGCCCTACTTACTTTGACATATTCATGGTCAGAGTAGCTTTCAGACGTTTCTTCTGGTGATTGGCAAAGGCTTATCTTAACAAATAGATCAGCAGGATATTTAGATTTTTTTTGTGTTGTCAAACTTTCACTATGCCTCATACCATGTCACTTAACATTCGAACATTGTGTCAGGATTGCAGTATCCTAAGTCATTGAGTCCCTACTTTTAAGGTCCAAAAGCAACATAAAGCCATGCTGGTCTGGAGGACCTATGTACTGTACATCTACATATTTTTTTTAGTTCTTATAGTAGGATATTTCCACCGAATGTGGAGGTCCTATATCCTGTTGATTTTGTTTCCATGGCTTGTCTCCTTGTGAAGATCTTTCCAACAAAAACTAGGATTTAAGTCTTTCCCAGACAGTTCAATGAAGTTTGTGTATAATGTTGGCTTCAGAGACTTCGATGCCATATGTCTTCAAGTCATAATTATTATGTCCCCAGCTAGTTGCGGACTATTTGGCCAGCAATTATCATGCAACATGGCCATTTTTCCAGTTGGCAGTTGGCCCCATATCACACAAAGGTTCCCTATCCTGTTGGCTTTTAAGATAATCAATTGCAGATTGGTTGCATACTGAGCAAAGCTTTTTTTCTTGTGATATAGAAGTCTTATACCCACTTATTTCTTCTTAGCCAGGTGATTCCACATCATAACAAGCCTTAGTAGAAAATGACTAAGGCCAGACTAGAGGACTGGAATGTGGCATTACATTTCATGTTGAGTGCCTTCAGAAGAAATTTCTTAATATGTTCATTTAAAGAATTATGTTTAATAGAGTTCCACAAAAGAAAGGTTCATCATCTAGAGTCATTCCAACTTCCTGGGGTATCATAGGTAAGAACATTTTTAATGTGAAAGCCCACACTTCGATATTTCAGCAGACTATCAAGCTATGTTTTGCCTACAGAGTCCAAGGACTTGGGCACACCTTTCCATATCAAGGTCTTACAACTAATCCAAAAAGTTGATTGATTACATTACATCAAGTATACAACTCATATCATCGATACCATAAGCTGAGTTGGCTTCCATCCCCAGTGTTTTCTCTAACAAGTGGCTTAAAAAGTTACATTAACATTATTATTTCCCTAACCTAATTTATTTAACTTATTAGCAAACAGGTCTTAAAGCCATGAGTTTCAAAAACAGTATGTTCATTTTCTGAGGGAATACACTAAAAGAGAGAAGAACAATAAACATCCTAGTTTGCTGGTAACTGTGTAGTGGCTGAAGTACAGACTATATAAAATATTTTATTCAATTAAAAAATGTCTTAGAACATGAGATCAAAAGAAAAAAAAAAATAAAACTTTGAATAGCCTAGACTTAATCACTGAAGACAAGGGACCAATTTCATCACTCATGCTTGATTTCTCGTAGGAAACCAATAGGCTGCATTTATTTGATGGTTGAATGGCCTCCATGGCTTTGGCAACAAGAACACTATAAAGGTAGGCCAAGCAACCATATTGAAGTCTTCTGTACTTCAGTCACCACTATGGTTACAAAAAAAAAAACAAAAAAAAAAAACACACTACAGGCTACATTATAACTATGTTAAGCTCTACTTAGGTCCTTGTGTTTTTATTTCAAGCATATTTCCTTTCACAAAAAAAGGGCAGCGTAGAGTATTGATCTGTTTGATCAACAAGTCACCATGTAGTAGATTCATTCCAGTGAGATCAGATCCAGTTTGTCAATTAATATACTTAATTGTAAGAGATCCTTTTATACAGACTTACTGTATGCAGGAAATCCTGCGGTGATCACTATGTACAGGTAATTTGGTGTCTCCTGAAGGTCAGTGATGAAATATTCCTCTGGTGCCATACAGTATGTCTTCTGTGTTGGTGACAGTGGTTTATGGAACGTGCCTCTTGCAGTACCATTTGCATGGCTCGGTTTCTGGACCTAGGATAAAGTACCGCATTGAATACTTTAATTATTTTAAATCCTATGTAGTCTGTTAAATTTAACCCACAATATAATTTTGCAGTTATGGTAAATGCCAAAAAAAATGTTTATAAAATAAAAAAAAAAATCCGTAGAACATTTTTTAAACAAAGGGATATATTATAAAAATAAAGTGTGGTACTTGAAACGTGGTGTAGAAGAAACCCTTCCATCAATAATGTTATTAGTGATCTATAAGGAATTTATTTTTTTTACCCGTTAATCTGTTTCTGAAATTTACCTTATTAGGTGGTTACTGACAATGACGACTCTCCTCTATGCTGGTCATCACTGAAAATTTCTCTTGTCTTGTTTGGTGGTCGTCATCCAACATTGTGGTGACTTCCAACTTTAAATCTCCTTTTCTGTGGTGGTCACCCTAGAATACGGATCTTTTCTTTTCTTGCTGGTTAAACACAGAATGTTAATGATCATTTTGGTGATCACCAAAGAACTGCATCTTTCTACAATGTTGGTGACCATCCAAATATTCCTTGTCTTTGGTTGTCTTCATTTTGAAGATGGATCTCTTCTCTTGTAGTAGTCCTTCTACCCCTTGTAGTGGACACCATGAAGTTTGGACCTTGTCTCTTTGGGTGGTCACTGTACATACTATGGATCTCTCGTGTTGTGGGTTTCTTCCAAATACAGCTTAATCCACATTGCTGTCTATATAATTTCTTTCTTTGAAATGTTGATTGTATTTTTTTCTCTCAAAATATTTATCAGCTACTTTGCATTGTCTGCCCCCTATAAAAAGATCTTCTTACTAGTAGATATTATTAATTTACTGTGTTTGACAAAAACAATATCAAGTAAAAATGTTGTGGAAACTCTGTGTCTTGTTTTAGGTTTTACCAGCTCAATAAACCACACACACACACCTAAACAGGTTTGCCTTCATGTAGGAATAAAGTACAGTAAAATGATTCTAAAGTCATTAAATAAAAAAGGCAGACACTACCAGACTATGCTAATGATGTTTACTAAATGAAGCTCAAGATGTGATACAAACTTGAGGATCAGTTACTGTTGTCTGCAGTCTTGGACCCAGCAAGTAAGTTCTTCACCAGCTTGCAGTTAGATTTTTATTTAAACTGTAAAGTAATTTCTGGCTGTTTGATAAAAGAAAATTATACAAAAGAAAATGAGTTATGGGATCTTGAAGGTGCATGACAATAATCCAACTAATTTTTGTAAAAAGTTTTTTACCAATTTATTACAATAAAGTTACATTGGATACAAGTAGTTACAATGAACTTGACAATCACAGCATGCTTGACTGTTTCCTGCGGGGCACAAATGGTGCTTCCCTACATGTTTCGCCCATCCTGGGCTTCTCTGGGAAAGAGACAGGCTATCTGCAATACAGTGTACAGTTATTTGAAAACATTGATCAATCAGACATAATTATACCATATACATCAGACTAGAATATTTAGATATTCCAAAAGGATTCATTGTAAATTTATATGTATACTGTATTGCGGATAGCCTGTCTCTTCCCCTGAGGAAGCCCAGAATGGGCGAAACATGTAGGGAAGCCCCATCTGTGCACTGCGGGAAACAGTCAAGCATGCTGTGATTGTCAAGTTCATTGTAACTACTTGTATCCAATGTAACTTTCTTGTAATAAATTGGTAAAAAACGTTTTACAAAAATTTGTTGGATTATTGGCATGCACCTTCAAAATCCCATAACTCATTTTCTTTTGTATAACTATATTAGGGATGTGGTGCAATATATTGATGGCCAAACATTCGTAATTTTTTAATTTTTTGGTAAAGGAAAACCTAACAGTTGCTCGAGTGTTTGAGAACGGGTTAGTAAGTCTCTAAAAAGCCCTGACCAGTGACCTGCAGAAGGTAAACACATCAAACCTGCCCATTAGCAAAGGGGACACACACAATGTATGTGGGGTATTGATAGGACTGTGATAGGATGAAAACAGGAATTGTGCAGGAACTGACAGTTTAATCTTTTGAAAAAAGAATGGGTAAATCAACAAATATTGGGGGAACACCTCTTAAAACCTGTACTGAGAAACACCTGTAGCTGTAGACTCCCTTTGCTGACCTCTCCTTATGAAAACTGCCTATCTGTCATGCTATATCCCAGTAGCAAGCATTCAGTTTAAGAGTTCTGACCTCATCAGGTGCATACTCAGTGGTGTATTCAGTACATGTGCTGCCTTGGCAACACTAAAATCCGGCTGCCCTAGGCAAACGCCTTGTTTGCCTCACGGTAAATATGCTGCTGTTTCAGTTCAGTGACTCAGCCAGACAGATAGCATTTTTGGGTGAAGGTGTAATGGAGCCAGACAGACAGCATTTTTATACTTCAATATTTTTATTGAAAGATTGGTATACAACAGTATCCATAGAAATAGAGACAATATGCACCGACATGGTGAGATGGAGTATATAAACATATACTTAGACATAACAGCACATGAGAAATATAGAAAAGATATTCCTAGTCAACCACATTGTATACAAAGGACATCATCACCACCAGATGGGAAACTTTATATCTATCATTGAACATAGGTAAGTGCCATAGAGATTTACCAAAAGTATCAAAGATCAATTTAGAGAAAGAAAAGAAATAAGGATTAAGACTAGAAAAGTCAGAAAAAGATCTAAGGTGAGATAGAAAGAGTAGAGAAAGAGAGAAAAAAAAAAAAGGGGGGGGGGGGTCAGCTGCAGCACTATTAACTAACAGAGATATATCTGATCCATGGTTCCCACGTCACCTAAAATCTGGCCACGTCATTTATTGACAATACTTGTGAGTTTATCATTTACCATTATCCAATTGATTTTTTGTTTAACCCCATCCAATGGGATCAGTGATTGTCTCCAACTTCTAGCTATGGTAATGCGAGCTGCCAATAAGAGGTAGAGAATCAATTTAATCGATTTTTTGGGAACATCAGTAGTAGCAAGTGAAATAACGCCACTTCAGGTGATTGTCGGATATTAACTCCTGTTACCGAATAGATAAAATTAAACATTCGGATCCAAAACCTATTTACCACCGGACATTTCCACCATATATGGAACATAGTGCCTTCTTGTCTACAATGTCAAAAGCAAGTAGGTGACACTGACGGGTACATTTTAGCCAGGCGTGTGGGAACCAGATACCAACGAAGTAGCGTTTTATAGTTGGATTCGATAAGAACAGTATTAATCGAGATCTTTGATAAAGAATGGGCCACATCTCACCAAGTATCCAGGTCTAATGAGCTATTCAAATCCCGTTCCCATTGAGTCATATAAGATAATTTTGTGAGTGGATCAACAAGGGAAGCATAGACAATAGATAAACGACCCCTCATCATCCCAGTCGCTCCACAGGAGACCTCCAACGGACTGAGTGTGCAAGGTTCTGTGATTAATTTGAGTTTACTACCGATAAATGAGATAAGTTGATAATAATGATGAAATAATTCCCCAGGAGGCAATTGATATCTTGTCAAGAAACTTTGGAGAGAACGGGGACGAAGCCCATCCAGGTAGTCCCCAATATGCAGTAACCCCTTATTTATCCACCATTGAAACACCGACGGTGACAAGCCAGGTATAAACTCGGGATTGCAAAAAAAACTGGAGCTAGGGGAGTATGCGGGGAGAATAAATGTTTGCGAGCTCGCCATCTATCCCACACCGTTAACAAATAGGACAATGTAGGACACATAACAGGAGGACGCAAAGCGACCGGGAAGCCACATAAGAGCCCCAATAGCATAAGGATAGCAAGATAAGGCCTCAATGCCAACCCACTGGGGACATAACTCCTGGCCGTAGTACACGATAATTGTGCTATCTGAGCCGCCTGAAAATAGGCAAAAAGATTAGGAAGTCCCAAACCGCCATGCTTCTTCAAGGAGAATAGGGTTGACTGGTTAACCCTAGGACGTTTTCCCCTCCAAATGAATCTAGAGAACTGACTGCTGCTTGCAATAGTAACAGGTCCCGTTTGGGAACCATGATCGGTAACGTCCTAAAATAATATAATAATCTCGGCAAAAAGGTCATTTTAATAGCGTTAATTCTGCCAAACCAGGAAAGTGAAAGATCCTGCCATTCCAATAAATCAGATCGAAGGCGTTGAAAGAGTGGAGGATATTTGCCCTATACAACAATGAAATAGATTTTGTGAGATGGATCCCTAAATAAGGAAGAGAACGAGAAGCCCACTGGAAGTCAAAGTTATCCTGGAGATGAGCAACCTCTGAATCGGGTAATGAAATATTTAAGGCAATTGTTTTAGAGGAATTAAGCGTGAGCCCAGAGGGTCAGAGAAATGATGAAACAGGTGGAGGAGACCAGGCAAAGAGATCCGAGGATTAGATACATACATAAGGACATCGTCTGCAAATAGGCACATTTATGGTCCCGTTGGCCACAGCGGATGCCTAAAATAGTGGGATCAGAACGGATAGCAATCGCAGTGGTTCCATTGCCTGTGCCAACGCAAATAATAGCGGAGAAAGAGGACATCCCTGTCTAGTTCCTCGCTCTATCAAAAGGGGGGCTGATTTATATCCACGAATGGAAACTTGAGCTGACAGGGTTAGAATATAAAGCCCGTAGTAATGTCGTAAAATAAGGGCCAAAACCAAACCTATCCAACATCTGAAATTAATAATCCCAGGATAGACTGTCAAATGCTTTATGAATATCCAAGGATAACAATAGGATTTCCCTTACTGGCCAGCAATAGTGGGACTCACCTGCCTTATGAGCTGCAGTACCAGGGCTGGCCAGCGGGTGCTCCCAGCAATCAGAGACTCAACCTTGCAGCCAGTCAAACACCTGGAACTAATTATACTGGTGTATTTAAGGGATGGCCAGACCTGCAGACTCTGCCTTGGTGTGTTTTTCCTGGGCCCTGTATCTTGTAAACCTGCGTTCCTGTTTCCTGTCTTGTTGCTGACCCTGCTTGATTCTGACCTCTGCTGACTTCTCCTGTTCTGATCCCTGGCTTGTGACCCTGACCATCCCTCTGCCTGATCCTCTTTACCACGCTGCCGCTACCTGCTGAACCTGGCCTGTGACCCTGACCATTCTCCGCTTGCTCCCCCTGTACCTACCTGCCCGATTGATATTGACCCGGCCTGCCTGACGACGCTTGCATTGTATGTACTGTTATCTGTGTGGGTGGTTGGTTTGGTTTGTTTGCACTGTGTTATGTTTTTAGTATTGCATTGCGTTTATGTTTGCATTGTTAGTGTTAATAAATTATAGTGTTTATAACATATCTGAAGTCTGCGTTTCCCTGCGTCAGTCACATACCTCTGGTCACACCCGGGAGCCCTGACATTACACCAAGGCCAATCCTGACCAGAATTGGCTGCACAGGGAAGCCATCTTGGCTTGTTGATGGGAAGGATGGATCTTGATGAGGTTGTGTATTTATATCTGCTAGTGTTTGATGACAGAGAGTATGCTTATCAAACTCTGAAGGAGTATACCCGGGATGAACTGCTAGAATGTATACGGCTCGCTCATGTTCTAGTAGATCAGGGCACAGAGTTCTCTGAGGTGCAGCCATTGATTCAGGTTTGTGCGGAGTTGGTTTCATCTGGTACCCCCGAATGCAGGGATGAATTTTTGCCGCCATTTAGTGCTGACCAGGTAGAGTCCCTGGTGTGGTTATTAGAGGATGATGTGGATTGCTTCTTGGAGCATTATGCTGCATGTTCACCACAGATACTAAGAGATTGTATAAACGCAGTGCAGTCTTTGGTCAGACAGGCTTTGTGTAAGCTCAGCTTTGTTCAACCCATACTGCAGACATGGACAGACTTGTTGCACCCAGCCTCAGTCAGCTTACAAAGACCCAGTCCTGCTTCTAATCTATTTCCTCAAAGCTCTATTCCTGCATTCCCAACAGCTCCTCCTGCCCTGCTATCTACCGCATGTCAGTACCCTGTTCCCACTCGCTGCACCTATCCTGCCTTTAACCCTGTAAAAAAGCCCTCTGTAGCAACTGCTCCCTCCTCTGTTCCATCCTCCAGCTCTTCTCTGTCTCCAGCTGCTCCATTCGTTTGCAGACCTGCGTTTACTTGCAGTGCTCCAGTAGTTTAAAACCAGAAAAAAGCGAAAATTCTTTCCAACCAATACCATCCTGCCAGTATCCAAACCGGTAAGCCTGCCGTCTGAGAACCTGCCTTCCGTGGTTCAGCCTGATGCCTCTCTTCGGCCTGATGCCTCTCTTCGGCCTGATGCCTCTCTTCTTCGGGCCTGATGCCTCTCTTCGGCCTGAAGCCTCTCTTCGGCCTGAAGCCTCTACTCAGCCGGATGCCTCTACTCAGCCGGATGCTTCTACCCAGCATAATGAACTGATCCAGCCTGATGATCCTATTAGGCCAGTTGACTCGATGCCCGCTGTTGATCCAGATGATCCGGTACCTGATCCGGTGCCCGCTGTCGTGCCAATTGACTCAGAGCCCGCTGTCGTACCTGGTGACTCGGTGCCCACTGCCTTGCCAGATGACGCGGTGCCCGCTGGCGAGCCAAATGACCTGATCCCTGGTGACCCAGTGCCCGCTGTCATACCTGGTGACCCGATGCCCGCTGTCGAGCCAGACGATCCAATGCCAGACGACTCGGTGCCCACAGTCTTGCAGACAGTGCCCGACTCGTGCCCGCAGTCTTGCCAGACGACTCGGTGCCCGCAGTCTTGCCAGACGACTCGGTGCCCGCTGTTCCGCCAGACGACTCGGTGCCCGCAGTCTTGCCAGTTGACTCGGAGCCCACTGTCATGCCTGGTGACTCGCCAGGACCCGCCGCTCCGCCTGGGGGCCCGAGACCTGTCGCTCCGCCTGGGGGCCCGATCGTATGCCTGTCGCCCCTCCTGCCCGCAGTCTTGGGGGTCCGGCGCCCGCCGCTCCGCTTGGGGGCCCGATCCCTGTCGCCCCCCGCCAGGGGGGCCCGATGCCTGACGCCCCCGCCGGGGGCCCCCGATGCCTGTCGAGCCCCGCCTGGGGGCCCGGCGCCCGCCGCTTCGCTTAGGGGCCCGATGCCTGTCGCCCCTCCTGGGGGCCCGATGTCTGTCGCCCCGCCTGGGGGCCCGATGTCTGTCGCCCCGCCTGGGGGCCCGATGCCTGTCGCCCCGCCCGGGGGGCCCGATGCCTGTCGCCCCTCCTGGGGGCCCGATGCCTGTCGCCCCGCCGGGGGGCCCGATGCCTGTCGCCCCTCCTGGGGGCCCCGCGCCCGCAGCTCCGCTTGGGGGCCCGATGCCTGTCGCCCCGCCTGGTGGGCCTGGTGGGCCCGCTGCCTGCTGCTCCGCCTGGTGGCCCGGTGCCTGCTGCTCCGCCCGGTGGCTCGCTGCCTGCTGCTTTGCCTGGTAACCCGATGTGCCTCTGCCCGGAATCCAGCCCGATGTGCCTCTGCCCGGAGTGCCTCTGCCCGATGTGCCACTGCCCGGAGTGCCTCTGCCCGGAGTCCAGCCCGATGTGCCTCTGCCCGGAGTCCAGCCCGATGTGCCTCTGCCCGGAGTCCAGCCCGATGTGCCTCTGCCCGGAGTCCAGCCCGATGTGCCTCTGCCCGGAGTCCAGCCCGATGTGCCTCTGCCCGGAGTCCAGCCCGATGTGCCTCTGCCCGGTGTGCCTCTGCCCGGTGTGCCCCTGCCTGGTGTGCCTCTGCCCGGTGTGCCCCCGGTGTGCCGCTGCCGGAGTCCTGCCCTGTGTGCCAGTCTTTGATATCCCGCCAGTTACCAGACCCGGGCGGTGGAACATTTTGCCCAGCTAGGACTGTTTGGAGCGTCCTGAGGCTGCTCCTTGAGGGGGGGGGTACTGTCAGGAATGGACTGGCCAGCAATAGTGGGACTCACCTGCCTTATGAGCTGCAGTACCAGGGCTGGCCAGCGGGTGCTCCCAGCAATCAGAGACTCAACCTTGCAGCCAGTCAAACACCTGGAACTAATTATACTGGTGTATTTAAGGGATGGCCAGACCTGCAGACTCTGCCTTGGTGTGTGTTTTTCCTGGGCCCTGTATCTTGTAAACCTGCGTTCCTGTTCCTGTCTTGTTGCTGACCCTGCTTGATTCTGACCTCTGCTGACTTCTCCTGTTCTGATCCCTGGCTTGTGACCCTGACCATCCCTCTGCCTGACCCTCTGTACCACGCTGCCCGCTACCTGCTGAACCTGGCCTGTGACCCTGACCATTCTCCGCTTGCTCCCCCTGTACCTACCTGCCCGATTGATATTGACCCGGCCTGCCTGACGACGCTTGCATTGTATGTACTGTTATCTGTGGGTGGTTGGTTTGGTTTGTTTGCACTGTGTTATGTTTTAGTATTGCACTGCGTTTATGTTTGTATTGTTAGTGTTAATAAATTATATTGTTTATAACATATCTGAAGTCTACGTTTCCCTGCGTCAGTCACATACCTCTGGTCACACCCGGGAGCCCTGACAGACACTGATAAATGCCTTGTTTTCGTCAGGGAGCACCAGTCCCCCATCTCGTAAATAGTTAAAATAAAGAGCCATATGGGGAATCAAGATATCAGGAAAAACTTTATAGTAGTTATGAGGAAGACCATCAGGCCCAAGGGCTTTATGAGAGGCAAGAGATTTCAAAGCGTTCCTAATTTCTTCACAAGAAATAGGCTGTTCCATAGACTCCCTATGGGTTTTCTGAAGAGAGGGAGAGAAATAGAGCTCAAAAACGCATTGATAGGTGAGGAAGTAATCCCTGGAGATGAGCTATAAAGTTCAGTGTAAAAAGAATGAAATTTTTGGAGGATTTTACCAGGATCTTGGGACAACGTTCCATCATTCAGTCTAAGTATAGGAAGAGCCGTTTGGGAATGTCTAGGAGCCAACTTACAGGCCAACAGGGTGCCAGGCCTATCCCTCCAAGTAAAACATTTATGGTTAGACCATCGTAGCTGTTTGTCAGCAGTGGTAGTGAGATATAGGTTCAATTCCAATCGAACCTGATCAAGCTTGAGTAACAAGTCTGGGCTGGGGCTTTGCTTATGCTGGGCAACCAAGTCAGTATAAACTTGAGTTTTGACGGCTAGTAAGTCATTACGGGCTCTTTTAATTCGTGAGGAGAGTTGAACAAAAAACCCCCTAACCAAAGCCTTATGGGCTGCCCAATTAATCGCCGGGTTTGTGTCCTCTGCTTTATTAAGGTCAAAATATGCTTGTAAGTGTAAGGAGACGTCTTGGCAATATGAGGGGTTACCCAAAATCGATTCATTAAGGCGCCAACTAAAAGCAGTCTTGCCAAATGTCCAGGATGACAATGTTATAGAAATCTGGTCATGGTCAGACCACGGCGTGGGGAGAGAATTTTGGCAGTGTGGAGTCTGGGAAGTGAGAGTGTATGAAGAAATATATGGTCAATCTGAGAATAACAGTTATGGGCCCTAGAATAATGGGAGTAATCTCGAGAAGTTGGGTTAGCTTCCCTCCAAGCATCGACCAGATCGTAGAGAAACAATAGCTGGGCGAACTTACGGCTCTGTCTAGGAGGGGGCTGAAGCACAGCGGTTTGGGAACGGTCCAAAATCTAATCCAACGCCAAATTAGAGTCCCCAGCCAGGATAACATCCCCCTCGAATTCCTTAGCCATAGAGCTCAGCAACGACTGAAAAAATTCAACCTGATTGGTATTCGGGGTGTAGTAGATTACGAAAGTAACTAAATGACCCCCCAAGTGGCCCTTCACCAGAAGATACCGTCCCTCTCTGTCCCGGACGATTTTAGATTCGGTGAACGACAGACGGCGAGACAAGCAAAGGGCAACCCCCCCGCTTCCTTTCTGTAGCGCTAGCAAAATAACAAACAGGGTAGTCCTTATGAACATATCTTGGGGAGAAGGAGGAGGGAAAATGGGTCTCCTGTAAAGCAACTATATCCGCTCCAAAAGAGCGGTATGTATTAAAGGCTTTTATACGTTTAGAGGGGGAATTGAGCCCCTGAACATTGTGAGAGAGTAGACGGATAGTTCCTCTAGTAGGGTGTCGAGACTACATAATCGACAATTAAATAACTATAGAAGCTGCGAACCACCCCCCCTTGGGGCAAGAAAATGGCCCAACGAATCCAAGTGTGCTGACAGCTGACCCTGGAGAGAGGAGAGAGAGAAGAAAAAAAAAAAAATCTTGCTGGGGAGTGGGATGTAGGACTGCTGGAGATAATACCCAATTGAAGCATTAGGTCCTCGCGATCCTGGAATGTGGAGAATCCATACGGCTCGCCATTAAAATTCAATTGTAAGCAAAACAGGTAGGCCAATCGATACCGGATATCCTTCTGCACTAGGTAAGAAAGTAGAGGCTTAAGAGATCGCCGTTGCTGGATGGTGGTCAGAGAGACATCAGCAAAAATTTGTATCTTATGTCCCGCAAACTCCAGGTCTGGAGTCTCTCTGCTATACTTCATAATCGCTTCCAAGCATGGACACCCTCAATGAGGAACGCGCAGTTCTGAGCCTGCACCCAAAGTAAGAGAGCTTTCTTCTCTGAAGACTGAAGATTAAGAATCCAACCAAATCCCTGCAGGACCTGTATCATATTTCTGAGGTTTCCCCTTTAAGGTAAGTGACCGCTCTCACAGAAAAAGGTTGTTCAGATAGCCCAGGATGTGGAGCCCTTGGGAAAGCAACATGGCCAGCATTAGAGCAAGGACCAAACTGAAAATCATGATCCTCACTGCAAAGCACAGTTTATGCTGATTTGGAGGGAAAATCAGGATGCGTAAGTAGGCATCCTTTATGGCAATCAATGCCAAGAATTCCCCCAACTGGAGGGCTTCTATAACTGATCTCAATTCCACCTGGATCTTTGTGGCCTCCAGAAAAGGTTTCAGATATTTGAACTCCAGGACTGGTCCAACATCCCTGTACAGCTAGAACCCCTGAAATTTATTTCCCTCTGGGACTTCGGTTACAACCACCATTTCCAAAAACTGGGACTCCGGGAAGTGTCCAAGATTGCGACCGGAGTGGCTGCTTGCTCGTGAGGTCTGGCGCCCTACAGTACAATCCGCTGCCATCCGGGGCGGTAGCGGGTTCTAATAGGCCACCGGTGGTCCTGCGGCTTCTGCCTGACACCTGAGGAGGGGTGCTGGGCGCTTTTGACCATCCCACGGAGCTCCGGGGAGTTTGCAAAGCCGCTGTCTTTCCAGCTGTCGCGGCCAGAGCGAGACGCCAGCGCTCCGCCCCCCGGCCCCCTGCTGTCGGGTCCGCTCCTGGGGTGGTCTGTGTGTGGCCTCCTGGCCTCTCCACTGGATCACACCAGGACTGGGCATTCTATAATAAAGCCTGGGGGCTCACCATGGTGGATGAGTGGCCCCGACAGGTCTGGAGGCCTATCCCATCTGCCCCCTTTCCTTAGGGGGTGAACTGGAGGCTCCTGTGCCCTCTCTGGCGGGCCTTCATTGCTGCCGTCCGCCCAATCTGGCTGTCGCAGATCCAAACGCCCCATCTGATGCTGAGACCCTGGGGCCTACGCTCACTCTGCTTAGGAATTCATCACCCTAAGGAAGGTATCTTTCAAGTTACCATTGCAGCTTATACCTACTCCTCCCCCTCCATTGTGACAATCTTTTCTACAATTTATTGGCTATGGCGGGACGCATGAGGAACTCCGCAGCAATCGTTCTTATGTAAACGCAACCCCGCTTTGGGACACGCACACGTAGCCAGGGAAGATGACCATTTGATCTCCCTGCGCCACGCCACCAGAACATCTACCTCGGCAATAGGGCTTCTACACCCCTGCGTATAATCTCTACCGGTTGTAGGTGCTTGTGAAATACCTGGGCTTCACCTAAAAATGCATCGTATGCCACGCACCAAACCCAAACACTGGGCCCAGCAGCAATCTCCTACG